CGGCACCCAGGCGCGGACCAGCCAGGAGTGGAAGGTGTTCGAGCAGGCCGAGCGCGCCAAGGCGGGCAAGGCCAAGATCCAGGACCTGCGTATCAAGGCACCGTTGGGAGTCGGGTAATCATGGCATCGGATTGTTCATCGGTTCCCTACTCCTCCCACGATGGAGGAGGAGGAGAGGAGGAGGAGGGAGGAATCTGTAAGTCTGTATCTGGCCATCTGGTCTGGCGGCCCTTTTCTTCCTGCCCCCTCCCCACTCGCACCCCGCGCTCCACGATCGGGTCGGACCCGATCACGGGATGCAGGCGGGGGGGGGCAAGAAGGGGGGGGCCGCCCTTTGCTCCGCCGCCCTTGCTTGCGGCCGCCTAGCAGGTCGTCGAGTTCGGCGGCGTGCCCACCGATGTCGCCGCAAAGATGACGAAGCCCTCCTTGATTCAAGTTGCTGTTCGCACTGAGGTCGAACGAGCCCAAGCGGCAGAGAAGGCGCTCGTGGGCGAGTGGAGAGCGCGAGTGGACACTACCCTGGGGGCAATGGTCGAGGGGGGGCCCGACGCGGGCACCGAGCAAGACTCCACAGTGGCGGGCATCTTGGCCGAGCTCGAGGACTTCAACGTCATGCACTCCAACTCCGATGGGACCAAGTACGTGTCCTGCATCGCTCGCCACGGCAAGTCGGCGACGTCGCTTGCCGCCTACAGGGTGTGGCTCTGCGAGCAGGCGGCCACCGTGGCCGTGATGCGGGCATGGCGCAAGGGTTTTGCGCTGCCCCCACGGCCAGCGCTCTGTCAGCCGGCCGACCAGGAGGTCGCAGCGCCCATCGAGGGCGCAGTCGCTGGCGGCGGCGCCCAGGCTGGCGCGCAGGTGTCGACGCCGCTGGCCATCACGAACTTCGACAGCACACAGACCAGCGCGGCTGCCGGCGCTGGCGCGCCTGCTGCGGCCACCGCTGCTGGCCCCGCCAGCGGCGCCGTCGCGGGGGATCCCAACGAGGCGGGGAAGTCGCAGTCACAGGGCGCCAACAGCGCCCTCGTGGACTCACAGACGCCCACCGAGCCAGCTGCTGATCCAACTGCTCCGCCTGATCAGCATCATCAGCTTGGTAAGTGTGCTGCTGCTGCTGGGTGGGCTGGGTGGGCTCCTGAGGCATCAGCTGCTCAGCCTGCCGCTGGTGGGGCTCCTGGGACTCCTGAGCCTCCTGCGCCTCAGGAGCGACGACCTGGATCGTTTGCACCGCTTGCGCTGGTGGCCGCCCCCGCGTCTGGCCTTCAGGACGTCTTGGGCGTCTTGGACGCGTCGGGCGAGCCCACGACGTCACTTGCCGACTACGGCGAGAACAGGCTGTGCAAGCAAACCAACCGTGGAGGGACTACGAAGGATCGGTTGTGGGTCGAGGCAGACGCTGAGTGGGTTGCCGACTTGCGGTTTCACTTCATTGGGGACGTCGTGTTCACAGTTGGCCTGAACCCTCCTGCCAAAGTATGCGCGCCAGCAGGCCAGGTGACGATCGTGTGCAGCGACATGGACTCGGACGATTATTTGACCTACAACGCGTGGATCATCCCGAACCCGTCCACGACGAAGATTGGCGCTGCCCTGTGCGTTCCGGCATGGTGCGCTCGAGTCAACTCCAAGGAGGGGGATTCCGTCAGCACTGCGCTTGGGACTGCTGAGCCCCTCGACGTCGTCGTGGCCGATGGCGACGCGAGGCTGTCCTTCTCCCTCGCGGTGCCCTACCTGTCGGCGTGCCCGCCGCCGCCGGCCAAGGAGGACGGCGGCGAGGGCGGCGACGGCAACGCCGAGATGGATCCTGAGGGGCAGGAGGGGGAGGAGTTCCATGACGTGAGGTTCGTGGAGGTGACTCGCGGGCCCTTCGAGCACGAGTCCACGAAGAAGGCCGAGGGCGAGAGGAAGCGGAAGGCGGCGCAGGCACAGAAGGAGGCGGCGAAGCGGAGGAGGGTGGAGTTGGATGCGGAGGACGAGGACCCGAGGCTGGCTGGGGTACTGAGCCACATGCTTCGGTGAACGCGCAGCGTGCAGCGTGCAGTGTTGCGCGCCATGTCGAATTCGGCAGCGCCTCGGGGTTAGCAGGCAGCAGCCGCCGCGCACACAGTGCGCAGATTGCACATCCCTCCACATCCTCCCGTCTCTCCTCCTCCT